CTTCAAAAAATGAGCCATGGAGTATGTCTGACTTACAGACTGAGAACATGTTGACATTAGTTGCAGTCGCACTGTATGTTAGGAAAACAAAGTCTGCACTCGTAAAAATAAAGGTTCAGATGGTTCTTGGCATGCAGTTCTAGGAAAGCAAAGAACCTTTACATTGTTTGAAAGTTCCTTATTTTTAATAAGGCCAAAACTGTTACTTTGGGGGGCAATAGTGCAATATTTGTGGTGGGGTAAGGGTCAAAAAAACAAAACAATATACAAATAAAGATAGCGATAAAGGTGTGTAGATGTTACTGAAATACTAAAAATAAAAGCATGGCTCCATACTAAAACAGTCGAGGGCTAAACTGGCCTGCCTGCAGTTTAGACCTGTCACCCATTGAAAACATTAATAGGTACATTATAAAATGAAAAACATGATTAAAAAAGACCCTGAATTGTCGAGCAGCTGAAATCCTATATCAATCAAGAATGGGAAAACATCTCACTTTCAAAACTACAGCAATGTGTCTCCTCAGTTTCCAAACACTTACAGAGTGTTGTTAAAAGAAGAGGTGATGAAACACAGAGGTAAACATGCCCCCGTCACAACTTTTTTACAACATGTTGCTGGCATCAAATTAGAAATGGGCATATATTTTTCAAAAAACAATTAAATTTCTCAGTTTCAACATTTGATATGTTTTTTTTTTTATTTTCAATTAAATGTAGAGTTTAAATTATGTGCACATCATTGCATTTTGTTTTTATTTACATTTTGCAGTTACAAACATTTTCTTTCTTCTTCTAGGAAGTTACCATTGAAGTTTATAGGTTTGCACAGCAACCCATCTTATTTATGAGTAAAGGAATCAAATTTTTAATGGGGGCATCTGTACTACTTTGTGATTCATCACACCTTTGATTTTGGAGCTTTAGCATTTTATTTTTAGACCAAAAGAATTCCAAAAAGAGAAGAACAGAGCTGTATAATCTTCAGTCCCAATGCTGATAGATGCTAGATGTTGTAAGATGTTCCACTGCAGATCTATAAATTACTCAGTACTTTACTTAGTAGATTTTTGAGCTGCTACTTGTTGTTTTTGGGAAGGGACTTTAACTTTTATATGTGGCATTACTTTACCCACTTATTTTACTTGCGTATTGTATATCGAGTTAGGCTACTCCACCCACCTCTGGCAGCGCAAATCAAATCCTCAACTTCTGGCCTTGTCATTTGACGACTGTCCTCTAATGGAATGGAAAACTGTGCCATACCTAAAGTTTGTTCAACCACTGATTTATTTAGAGTGTAGAGGCACTTCCTAGATCAAGGACAACCTCAGTCCTGCCATGTTCATCAAATGAAGACAAAGCAGCTGGATTTGACAGATAAATATGAACTCATTGCTGGATCTTTTTAACAAAAAGCTCCTACTCCATTATTCATTTTTCTGATCCTCGGTCTCACCACATGTTTTTGCATTGCCCATTTTCTTACTTTTAATGTACTCACTGAGAGGACATGAATTATTAACACAATGTAGGTCCCCTGACAAATTGGAATCATTCGCTTACGAGCGCAGCCACACGTGGTAGTTTGGCCTTTTTAACACTGAGAAAATAACATGGAGAAGATTTTGCTTCTCAGCATAGAAATAGTGATCAGCATACACAATGTTTATGACTAATGAGGAACTGAATGGATGTGTTTAGTGGAGTTTGCCAAATGCCTCCTCATCAGTGGGTCATATAACTCGTATCTAACCTAATGTCTCACCAGTGATACATTCAGAATCTGTAGCTTAGCCTCCTTTAACTCATTCAAATCTGCCCCCAGTGTAGTTGGTGTGCATGTCAGTATAAAATATATCAGCATATAGAATTGGAGCTTGATGCTGCCTTTATTGTTGGATGCACTAAACAAGAATGTGCACACATTCTTTCTTTTTCCCCCCACTCGTTTTCAATGCACCAGCTGTATTTAAATACAGTGTAAACGGCTTACCATCAATAGAGTAATAACAGTTGTCCAAAATTAGGTAATATTTACTTAACAAAACTTTATATAATCTTGTATCATTGTAATTTTATAGAAGTAAAAATTATACAAAAATAGACTTTACTTGAACCCTGTTACATGACATTGACATAGCAATGCCATAAACATGTCCTGGCAGATGTTATAGGCTGTGATGAGTTGTCTTGACAGATATTTTCAGTGATATAACAGTGTCATGTTACCATTACAGTTCATAGATGTCATAATGTTTGATGTCATGATGGCTTAATTCACATGCTAATTTTTGCTGTGAACTCTACTCATGACATCGAACATTATGACATCTGTAAAGACAGTTTAGGGTAATGGTAACATGGCACTGTCATAATCTGTAATGAAAACTCATGAAAATGATATCCTCTATGATATGCTTATGACATTGTTATGACATTGTTATTAAGCAGGATTCAATAAAATGTTACATAAAAAGATGCTTTCTTCTACCTTTGCATAGATGCAAAAATATATAAAGTTTTTTCTTATATCAACGACATGTTTGCTCGCTCAAAATAGCAGTTTTTAAAAAATTCTGAATGTTCAGCTTTGTTAGATTTTCTCCTTTACACATCAACATAAACCCAAGATCAGCATTTATAAATCACATTATTAAAGTAGATTAAAAGGCAGAAATAAGTCCTTTTTGGCCACATCATCAAGACAACACCTCGCTGAGTTTGAGGTTTAGACAGGGGAGTGAAGGCAAGAGAGGGAGGCAGTGGAAGAGAATATGAGGCACAAAAAGTGAAAGCGCGGGCGTAAGCCACAGACGAGTTGAAGCAGCATGCAATATTCCTTGATGCCAGCCAGAAGCGAGGGGGGGGCATCCAGGAGAGAAATACAGGGGAGTGGGGTATGCTGCATGATGCAAAAAGGCAGAAAAGTAAAATAAAGACAGGAAAAGGAAAGGTAAAGCAGAGGGAAATTACATTAGAAAGCATTATCACTTCTAGTTGCTGTCAGAACAAAACCTTGTATCTCTTCAATGTTAAGTTTCATTGTTCATTGTTCCATACATCAAGAACTGTCCCTGAAATACAGAGCAGCTGGCATTTTCAAATGGTGTAAAAAAAAACAATAAAAAGAAGTTTTGATTTCAAGGTATTGATTTGTGGTGTAAATTACTTCAGAAATTTAATCTGGTACTGATTACAAATTACAGGACTAAAACTGAACTACTTTTTGAACTACTTCTAATCTAATTGATCTATTTGCTTTCATAATTGGTTTATTGGTTTTGCAGCACTGAAATCTCTCTCTTTTGTCTTTCTCTCAAGTAACTGACATTAACACTACAAAGATCAAACAACTCAAAAATTTGAAGGCAGCCAGGTTCTTTACAGACTGTATGTCCAAGACAAAAACAATACAGGAAACTGTAATATGCTTATGTTTATGGTTGCATTCAATAAAGAAACAACTAATGAAGTTATAGCACATGTACATCCACATTGGCCATGGAGAAAAACGTATCAGGGTGTAGAATCAGAGTTTTTGTTGTGTTACTGTGTCTCTATCACTGCACAAAAGATGCACAATGCTTCCTTTATTGTTGGATGCACTGTGATTTTGTGAGCACACAAGCCCATTCAGAGTGCAGCTCAGATTGGTATTGTGTTTAATCAGAGTAACAATAAAACATTGATTGATTTATATTCCTTTTTATGTATTTACTCCATCTAATGAATTTTGTCTTTCTTTGATTATGGTTTCTATATCAAATTAATGCAACAGCATCATTGAGAAATGCATTATTAATGAAGAAAAGCAGACTAAATAATAGAAATAGCCAGGTTTTGCATCAATGATGTATATATAGCAAGGAATCAGTATATTAGGGCAAGACAAGTAAGAAATAACTTCTCTTCAGCTGTAATCATAGCAATGTCACAACATGCTCAATATACATATCTATCTCAGCATCTTTGGTTGAGTCATGTCCACTAAAAGATAACAAAATGTAATTAAGGCTTAGCTCCGCCCACACTTGGCACAAGTATATTGTGTCATATATCGCTGAAAAAGCTCCACATATCTGTTTCCTTTGTGCTAACAACAACAACAACAACAAAAACAACAACAACTTTTCTGTTATCCTTTTCATCATTATCTTTTCTCTACATTCAGAGCCAAAAAGCTCCATTTTGAAATGAAAGACAAGCATTCATCAAATGGTCATTCCTATCTGTATTCTGAAGAATATCACAGAAAGATTTCCTAATGTTTTGGTCATATATAGCTGGGTTTATACTAGATTTCATACGACAAAATGACCTCAAAACATTTAGTAGTAACAGTGCATAGTGTATGCTTGATTAAACAATAAAACAATGAGATTTCCATCCTGTATAATCCTTTGATTGAGGAAATTCTCTGATTTTTTTTGCCAAACCTCCAATACAAAAGAATAAAAAGAATATCAGAAACCAACTGCAAATGATTAACTGTGATACCTGTTGCTTAAAAAAATGACTCTATTCACCTGTAATGTCCTGCCTTAATAATCGGTTATCTGAATATGACCATTAACTATAAACTGCATTTAGAAGAAACGATACATATTTATATGTTACACATGGTCTGTTACTACATTAGAAGTATAGAGTATATGAAGTTGGAACATTTTATAAATTTGGTTTTACAAGGAACAGCATTCCTCCCATTTCCACAAATCCACCGAAAGCACAAGTCTGCAGGCCCTTCTGCTGTATTACCAGTGAGTAAATATCATTAGCCATTAAAAACAAATCAAAGGACAATTTGGATCAATCATTATGCTTATGCCCAGAGGTCAGAGCATAGCCACGTCTGCTGTTTTGAAGCTTAAAAGGCGAAGCCGCTATTTGAACATATGCTCGACAGCTTGCGTTTCTCTTCATGAGCTCTAGCTGGCAATTAAACTCGCAGTAAGGCATGAAGCATGCAATGACGGCCCTTTTCTCTTCTTCCTCAGATCCACGGATTACGGCTCAACCTACGAGAGACTGAACGACAAAGTGGGAGTGAAGACAGTCTTGAGTTATCTGTATGTCTGTCCCACCAACAAGAGGAAGGTGGGTGGGCTTCTTTCAGATTTAAAGGAAAACTTCTACAATACTATTTGTGCTATTTATCTTAATCACAATATGGCATTTAGTGTTTTTTTAAGCCTTACATTCTTCTTCTTTTTCTTATTATTATTATTATTAAAGTGAACAAAGCAATCATTTGCCAAAATAAACTTCCATAACTGTCCTCTAGCCAAATTTAGTCGATTAGCCAAGACATGTTGGGTGTTTGAAATTTGCTTCTTTAATTTTGCACTGAACCCAATGTGGCACTTGTAATGATTCCTACATTTGTAGCATTTCTGACAAAACAGATGGGTTGCAAAAGATCAGACAAGAGGCAAGCTTAAGAGGTTATGACTTCAGCAAGGGTCTGGCAATATCACATTTTAATTTGTATGTAAAAAGCCCTCTCCAACGCCATTAACACCCAAGTCAAACAATGAAATAAATAAAGAAATACCCTACTGGCTTTGTTTCCCTTGAACCTGATCACATTAGACACCCAATGGCTGACTTTTCCTCTCGTCACATAAAAGGCCAGATTGCTTTGGAAGGATAAAGGGTGGGCTAATCACCAGCAGAGGGTTGACAGAGAGGTGAGGCTCCCTCCGAATAACATTTAAACGTGTTTGTAATCTGCAATGAGTGCAAAGGTTAATGAGTTGCTCCTCAAACAAGGGCGTCCCCGTGCTGGAAGATGGCCCAGTGTGATAAGACTATACACTGGACTCTTTAGTGTCCATTCTGTAGATCGTAGTAATGTATCTTAAAATTAATGTGTGAGTTTAACCATCAAAACATCTGGAAAGTGGCAAATTCTTGAATTTTTACTTTGGAATCCTGTAACAAAGTTAAATCCTATAGGGGCCAACTTTATATTTGCCTTAGATACACATTTGTCTTATAGGCTTTTACCCTTGTGCTGTCCGAAACTAACTCATTGTTGGGTTTGATATTTTAGTTTAAATTGATAATTTGATGATAGTTTGAGAATTTTACAGGGTGAAACAAGTTGAAATGGTTGATAAACACTCTCAGAAAAAAAGTCACTAAACTATTAGTGGGACGCCCCCTCCCCCCTCTTGTGACTGGGGTGCTACCCTCAAGGGAACCTCTTCAGTACCTGTAGTTAGGGAACATGATTGTACTACAATTCTTTGCAGCTTTTTAAGTTGTATTGACTCCACACATTCTGTCTTGTTACCAGCCTTTTTTATTTCACTGTTTCAAAAGAGTAGGTTATAAAAAAGGTACACATATGTACCTTTTCCCTGGGGGGAAACATTTAAGGCACATAGTTGGACTTGTTCCATTGTTGTACCTTTGAGGGAACATTTACATTGTACCTCAGTAAATGAAAAAAGCACCTTTTTTTGACAGTGTATAGAAGGACGTGTCTTATTTGTATCTGATATTATTGTACTGTAAAGGTATAGTGATGCACATATTTTCAGGTTTTTATGTGTTCATAGGTCAGTTTCCTGGTAAGGGATTAAGCCTAGTCCTGGACTGCATTTTCCTTTCAATAGAGAATCTCAATTCAGAATCCTATGTAGTCCAGGAGGTTTAATCCCTGTCTCGCAAACAAACAGACATCCATCCAGTCACATGAGTGTCAGTGTGCATAGCATGAAAACAATTCACAAATGCAGAAATAATGTAATATATCTGTAGGAAGCTGTGTACCCTATGACAGTACACTGTTTGAAGTCATAATTTAACCTGATACACCAGACTTTTAAAAGCTAGCTACCACAGTTTTCTTGTGAACTAAATGTTTTTGATTCACACTTTAATGAGACGAGAGACCATAATTATGACTTATATGCGACATAAAACATGTAGCCTGCATCTTGTTGTCTCATCTCACATCAGAATGCTTGTTCCAGCCCCAGACGGGGCTGCTTTGAAACCAACCTGTCTATTACAGCAGTTACTATGTCCATATGGACAACAGAAAAAGAACATAGCACATTTTTGTCACATTTTGGTGTGAACAGGCCTGTTGGAGTAGCATGCACTCTGTAGAAATGTATAATACAAAAATCCATAACTATAAGTTTTGCCTCCATGTTTACCTCCTTGCAAGTAGAGGCCCTAAGCAACTTGTATAGTTTGTGTATAGAAAGAACATAGAATGCAACCAGATAGGATGTAAACAAATTTGTTAGGGTGCAACCAGCTTGTTTTGTTCCCTAAGAGCAATTTTCATGAAAGACGATAAGACAATGAGAGGCCATTAGAAGAGACTGAGGACTGTATTGGCAGTTTTAAAATGTCAGTACACTGTTATGAACATCCGTGATTTTTCAAGACTGTATTGAAATCATTGGCTTTAATATATAACTTGTGTATAATCCTTGAAGTGTAATTCTTACGACACCTCTTACAACAATTTGTTGATAATTCTTGGAATCACCACCCTCTAATGCCAATGATTAATGCCAATCTATCAATGTTTTTTCCATCCCAACTACAGTGTACCAACAGTTTCCAGTTCAGAATTTGTTCTGTACTGGTTCCAGTTTTACAGTAGAGTAGGTTGAAAGGACATTGGCAAAATTAGCCAAATCCAGGGCAGCGATTCAAGTCATCACTCACATCTTGTTAGCAAGTCTTGAAGAAACTTTTCCTTCGGTTGAACTCTTGTGGTCTTTGGCAATTTTGGCAATTAGATGATGCAAAGGCCACATCTCAGCTCCTCATGTGAATCTGTTACAGTTCAGCAGAGACTTGCCTTGGCCAACAATTTCTCTTTCTGTTTCTTCCGCCGTTTTTCTCTCTCCTTCACTGAGACAGCAGGAGACTCATGACAAGGAGTGTAGCGGTCAAATAAGGGCATTAAGTTTCCAATGAGAATGGTTGTAGTGTTTAATAAAACGGCCTCCAATCCTGAAATGTCAGATGAGACTGTAAGCCTCCCTCTGAGGGCCGAACTACTCTCAGCTCTCTTGGGCACTCCACTGTAGACTTAGGGGTTAGACAAGGATAGCATGAGTGTGTAGGACACATGGTCACAGACCGCGATCAAATCATGGCAAAAGTTCTCCAGAAACATCAAGTTAAGTCTCCTGCCAGAGTTCACTCTTGCGCTGAATAACAAGATAGCTGCCAGCTACAGATTAGACTGTACACTTGTAATCTTCAAGTCTCCTCAGCTTGATCCATCTAGGATTATAGCAAGCAGTCACACAAGTTTTACTGACCTTTGACCTTGGTCTTTTCACCTGTGCTCATTAGTTTCATTTGCTTCTTTGAGTGGATTGATTGAGCTTGAGTTAACTGCAGAATTTATATGACTAATTTATTTTAGATTTGATATGCTATTCAAATGTAATTATGATACTTCCTAAGTAATTACATAGTTATGTAATGGATTTCCATTCAATTTACATTCTGTAAAGAAACAAACAAAACCACAGCAAAAATGTAGGACTGGCCCCAAACAGCATTTTACAAGCTTCGAATACATGCTGATATTTACAAACCAGTACTTAAATACTCATTTTCAAAATCTTTCTTGAAAATCATAGTATTTGAACAGCTTTTTTGGTCATCAGTCTGATGCAACAGATGCTCTTTCGTTTTAATTAGTGTTTCATGAGACTCACATCTTATGTCCATCAAAAAGTAAACCATTTTTTCAACTTGGGACTGAAGCGTAAACAGAGATCAAGCCAAATCACACTCACTTTATAAAGTGTTCTAAACTATATTTATAATAAGAATTTATTTAAATGTGGTGCAGATTTGAGTTCAAATTCAAGTTTCTCCCACTTTTACCAGATTTTACCCTGCACTTTCCCCCTGCTTTAGATTTCTCCTTACTTTCAACTTCCTGTCTAATTTCAGTACCTTAAATCATTTTTTAGTTGGGCACACTGCAGTCACCCACTGCAGTCAACCATAGTCACCCACTGCAGTCACCCACACTGCATTAAAGTTTCACAAGGCCGTGAAAAAACTAAACATGAACAGTGAAGTGATTCAGAAAAAATAGTTTTGAACAGCCAAAAGGATGTTTAATTTGTTTGCCCAAAATATTTGTATATGTTCAATGTGTTCTATGTAACACATTCTATGTGCAGAGAGTTTTAGTAGCAAACAGGTGAAGACTAACATCTGGCTCTATCAGCACTGCACAGCATGACAACAGAGCAGCATGGAAAGTTTATCCAAACTGAAAAAAACTAGTTTAAACTCTGCTTTGAGTATTTCAATGTAGCTTTAGATTTTAGTTATCCTTGTTCTAATGATGATTATTACTGCCACTACACGGTAACAGAATCTTTCCTGTCACATTTTATTCTGCACTTTGGCTGATGGATGGGCCAGTTTTGGGTCAGTTTCGGACATGATTTTGTTGAGCTTGGGTTAGTTTCAGACTCAAAACATGATGCTACACTCTTAAAAAAGATGGGTATTCAAGGGTTGAAACCATGAGTTCTATATAGAACCATCTTTACTTTGTGAAATTGTTCTTCAGATTGATGGTTCTGTATAGAACCTTCTGGAAAATGGTTCTATACAGCCCTAAAAAGAGTTCTTGTAATGTTACCAGCTTGACATTGTAACAATAGCAGAACATGTTTAGGTGCTATATAGAACCATTTTCAAAAAGGTTCTATCTAGAACCATATACAACACATTCTCAATCTGAAGAACCATTTCACTATGCAAAGAACCAATGTTTTTAAATAGAACTCACAGTTCTAAATAGAACAATTCCCTTTACTTAAGAACCCCTGAAGAACCATCTTTTTCAAGTGTGTGTGTAAGTTTGGGTCATGCTTAGATTCAGATACATTAGGGCTGTATTCAAATTTGGGCCAACATTTCAAGCCCTATGAAATCTCAATTTGTTAGTATAGTAGTTTCAGAGCAGCTCCTGCGCTGTACTAACAATGTAATCAGATCTACTGTTTGTGCCATCAAGTTTTAAACATGCTGTAAACTTGTTTAATTAGGAAAGAGGTGATATTCCTGCCTGAAGCTGTTATGTG